TGTTGACACAAAATCCAGTGCAGTGAAGATGTACTCAAATATTTGTTTTTTCTGGTAAACTGGATTTGCAGTTAGCTTTGTGGGCTCATTGATATTTGTGTTGTAGCTTAATAAGTCTTACTGATGAGCATTTTCAAATAGAGAAGGGTGGAAAAGTGTTAGACAAGTGCTTGCAAAATAAATGGTATTAATTAAGTATGCTGTTTTGTGTGGCTTATTTGTATATCTGTGGGTGAATCAAGAAAACATACTTTATGCATAATAAAAGAGACCTAAAGTACTGTTTATTGATACACGCACTAGATAGTTGATGGTAAAAATAATTGAAACCAGTGTAATTAGCTTTTGAATTAACAACAAATTTATAATGGGTCTTTATGCTCCAAAGAATGGTGTTTGGAAAAACTCCCTCATAGATTTTCTGTAATTAAATTACCTCCTGGAGTTTTACTGGAAAACCATGTGTGTTCTGCTTTCTTAATAATAAATCTTTCTACGGACAGAATTAATTTTTAGAAATTCCCCTTCTGTTTGATAAAATAACAAGGGAAACTCATCGTCCTCTGATAACCTGAGAGCTAACTTTTCTTTTTGCAAAATATGATACAAAAAGTAGTCTGTTATATTTTTCTAGACATTGAAGCCAAAAGAAATATTTAGAGTATTTGTGTCAGGCCAGAACATTTCTCCCCTGTAATTTCCAATTTGTCTAACGTATGTTCCAGAAAGTACCATCTGGTTTGAAGGAGTCCCCTGTGGTTCAGTGGTAGAATCCTTGTCTATCACACGGGAAACCTGGGTTTGATTCCCAGGTACTTATGCAGCTACAGTCGTGGACTCAGTCTGGTCTTTGGATTCTGTCTTAGTGGCCTAAAGGGAGGATGAACAGTTAGGGCAGCCTCCACTCCTCCAAAAATTCCTGTCCAGGTATATGCATCGAAGGTCTGGGTGGTCCTCATGCCTATACTACCATCTGGTTTGAAGACTGCAAGGGACAGGATCCCACCATTCCCTTTTACTCCTTGTGAAAGATATGCACGTAACGTCTCATTTGAATTTGTCTGGCAGTATGTCTCCAATCATTTGAAATTTGAGTGGTTTTCATTCTCACTAGTGATGGGCAAGCTTTAAAGTATGCTTCTAAATAGGGTCTGAAACTGTCACCACCCACAAAGCAACTGACCTTTGAGCTCCACATCCTTAGCATCTGGAAACACCTTTCCTTCCACTGACGCATCTGCAGCTGTAGTATCTTCTTGAGACAAGGGCCTAATGGCTTGCCGTTCCTATCACTTGGGCCAACTGGCCCTTCAGGAGAATGCAACAGCCTGAAGCACTGGGTGTTACATACAGGAATTTTATTTGCCTGTCAGTCTGATTGTTCTAATTTTCATTCCCAGGTTGTAGCTTTGGCTTCGGTTTTCCTGTCAATATGTCCCTAGTAGCAGGGTACAGGACACAATAAGTTTTAGACCATGGTGTGAGGGTCACAGGTCTCTGAGCCCCTAGGCCATAAATAAATAATCTCAGTAGTTGTGACCAAAGACAGGAAGTAATAACAAAACCATTGCAAGTCACATTTTATCCTCCTCACTTCTCTTCAGCTATCGGAGGCAAGAAATTCAGATAAAAGATGGTATTCTGTAGAACAGCGTTAAGTTAAGGAAGGGTATGTAGCCTGAAGTGTTTCTTGATTGTCACATAGTTCTGTCCTGCTTTTTAAGAGGATAAAGTTTCAAACTCATAATGCCCTGAGATGACTCTAGGCCTTTGCCTTAAACCAAACCCATATAGTTTTGGGCAAGTATTTCTCCGTCTCCAAAGCCGTTATTGGAGATGTCTTCTGCTATGTAACAGTCAATATTTTCCATATTTTTTCATATCTCCCACCCCCAAATAAGATGCACACATCTTTTTGGGCAGTCAGAATAAAGAAAAAAGAGTTTTTGACTGCATAGAGTTATTATGACTGCATCGAGCAGGGACAGAGCTGAATCTTCAGCTCATTCACCTTCCCTTTCCTGTTTAACCAAAAGTTGAAACCCTAGCTGTTGCAGAAGACTCATCTCCAGGAGTGGACTTTGAAAAGAGCTAAAGAGTCTCCAGGAGTATGTAACAGGAGGGCAGAAACCAGGAGTAGCAAGTAGGATGCAAAATTGCCAAAAGAAAGATTAGCATGATTAGTGGAACACCAAGACCGTTAAAAGGGAAAGGCAATCATTAACACCTTTGGAGTGAAGAACAGTGACCCATAAAGGCCATTGACTCCCTCTGCTGCCTGAATGGAAATGCCAGTGCTGCTGCTTGGTGGAGCAAGAATCAAAGCAGGGTGTTTCTGTTCCAGGTGGAGAATCATCTTCCCCACTTAAGACATGCACCCCAACTTGGGGTGGAAGGGAGAGGGGCAGCAGTGTGCTGATTTTTTGGCAAAGGGTATATGGTATGTGAAGAAATACGTTATGTACACCAGTATGTACAGAAGTCAGGAGAGCTGTTGGGACCATACAACAGTATAACAGCACTAAACTCTACATCTCCTTTATGCTAAATGGGAACAGACCTGTTTCCCAGTCTTCTCAGTAGTTAGCCAAAGGTCAGCATTTAGAAAAAGATCAGTTAGTTTAAAGCTATTCCACTCCCCCATTCTCAAAAGCATCTGCCCAGATTTTTTATGTTAACTTGCAGCTCCTTCTGGACCTTCCATATTAATGGATGTGCAAGTAGCCACCATTTCAAAAAAACACACATTTCTTTCCACCTGGAGTGGATAGCTAAAATATTAAATGGTGATCCTAGTGGATATAGACACAGAACTGGCCATAGTGATCTGTGCATTGAGGTCCCACAGGGATCCCTGGGAGCCCCAACTAGTACAAAGGCTCCACCTGGTACAAACGTTGGCATTTTCAGTAGCACAGGTTAGCATGAACATATCTTTTGTGTACTTCACTCTGGCTCCACAGAGTATATTAAAAAAAAAAAAAAAAAAAAAAAAAAAAAAAAAAAAAAAAAAAAAAAGGCCTATTCAAGATCTTTGTCCTAGTAGTCAAAGCCCTCTGAGTTTGGCCCCAGTTTTGTGAGGATCACTTCTCCATTCACTATCTTGACCCACCTCATGATAACCATATTTTCTTGGACCGTATTAGACTGATAAGATTTCTACTTATCTAATCTATGAAAGGAGTCAAGCAGTTTACTTATGCAAGAATAGATTTTAAAGGCAAAATCACGACCCTGCAATCTCTAGAATTTTCCCATTTAATTTTAACCTGTTCATATTTTAGCCCCATAAAAGAAAGTTCTATTCTACGGTTGCATTTTGCATGATTAGTGGTATGTTTTGGGAAACTTCTAAAATTGATATAGAGTTAACTGCTGTCACCGATCCAGATATTTAAAAAGGCATTAATTAAAGGCTGAGGTTATGTCTTTAAAAGGCAATCAAACAGGGTGAAGAACTGGTGCAGAAGGAACTAAATATATTAAAAGGCATGGTAAAGAGCATGTGTATATATGTATGTATATATGTATATGTATATATGGCCTTTACCATGCCTCTTAATATATTTAGTATATTATTTTGGATATAAAATATATATAATATATATGACTTGTACCTTACGTAAGCTATTATAGTTAATAAGATTATATCATCATGTTGTGTCTTCCCTCCTCCCCTACCCCCCCAGTTCCCCTGGACCTTCTGTAGACTATAAATACAGCCAGTTGTATCTCAAGGTTTCAGATAACTTTATCTGGTTCATTGTAGTTAAGTAACAGTGCCTGACACTGAACACAAATTATGTCTGTGTTTCAAGGATTTACAGAGAAGGTTTTGACAAATTGAGTTGCCTTATGCTGGCATGTTTCCCCTAATGTTTATTGACTCTGTCCGTTTCTTTTGAAGTATTTTCTGTTGGTATTGCACATTTAATTTTTCTAGTTTTAATAATTGGATTAAGGCTATTACCTGCAGGGGTTCTTATTCATTTAAATTACATAATTTCTTCATTCTTCTCAGGTTTAAAATGAGACTCGTGTTTTTTTAGCAGTTGTTGACTGAAATGGATTTTATAAAATGTCTTCTGTAAATATAAAAATAATTTATTTCTTGAGATGTTCTGCCTCAGAAAGCATTTGGAGAATAAATAGAATGCAGGTTACGATGCAGACAAATGAACCTATATCATGTTTAATGGGTTGATTGCTAAGAATGGTTTTGCACACAATAAGCTTTTCTTTCTTTTCATTATTGCCTCGCCAATTTCTTACCACTGTATTTTTTCAGTATAGTATAACCTCATAAATCCAGATATCAAAAATCCAGAATTCTCAAAAATCCGGCACTTTTCAAGCTCCCCCCTTTGCTCCCCACCCCCCGGTTTCAAAAAAACCAGAATTTTCAAATTTCCAGCAGGTGCTGGGTCCCGAGGATTTATGAGGTTATACTGTATTTGTTTCTTTGGTCCCCTACAACCTCTGATAGCTAACTATGCATTCTCAGCAGTTTCTGCCTATAGGTCATTTAACCTGTTGGCATAATCTGCTTGTGAACTAAGTGAGGAAATAATGCTTCCTCTTGGTCATTTGACTAGGCTTGATCCTGCTTTCATTCAAGCCAACAGCAATTTTGCTCTCATTCAGTAGGAGCAAGAAAAGGGTCTGCCTAGTGATCTTTAAATGTAAAAATACCCGAGAGACACTGTCACAATATATCATTTAGGGAAGGGTTGGGCTCTATCCTGTGTTGCTTACTCACTGTGAAGTTGATGGGAAATCAAGGGTGCAGCCCTGTCCTGTACACCCAGACTATGCGTGGCAAAGATTTTCTCAACAAGAAAGCGTTAATAATAGTGTGCTTTTCCAGGAAAGGGCTTGCCAGCAGATATTCTTGAGAGCTGTTTCATTTGCTTGTCATATTGTTAAGAGAATGTAAAGGGGAATGGGCCAAGCCCATTCCTTTTTGTAACTTAATTATCTTATTTCCTCCCATTTTGCAGACAACTTCAGCAACAGCAAGCAGAGCTTGAAGTGCATCAGAGGGATGGGTTGTCATCTTATGACTTATCTCAGGTGATAACGCTGGATAGATCTTTATCTTAGTCTCTGTTCTTTCATGCACAAATTGACTGTGGTGTTGAATATAATACAAATACATTGCGACTGTACCTGAGGTTCTGGTGCCAAATATGGTGGAGACAGTTATGTTTTCCTTTTTATATGTGAACAACAGGTGCCTGTTCCAAGCATACCAGCTAATGTTCACGAGGGTGGAAAGTCAGTGGAGAAGCCAGATGCAATCTTCTCCCAGGAGAGGGATCCTAGGTTTGCTGAGATGTTTGCAGGAATAACTACTTGTAAGTGAGAGCTTCTGGTATTGAATATTTAATACTGTATTAAGTGCTGTTACATCATATAAAACACTACCTTAAGGAATCTGTGGGAGACAGATCAGTTAGCAAGATTAATCTGAATGTCTGTATCCTACAATTGTCTTAACTAAGCATTTTCTACCACAAAAAGAATGAGGAAAACTCCAGAATTTAAGTATCAAGCTAATAATACTGTGCACTATCTTCATTTAGAGAAGCTGCTCTCTGTTCTCATATAGCTGCATATTTCCCTGGCAGTTTCTGAATAGGAGTTGCTTTTATATAGTAACCATCCTTTTTTTTCCTGAGGCAAAACCTTTACAGTGGAACTCTTAAGCAAATCCACTTGCTAGGGCTTGAGGCTTATATATCTGTTCCTTTTTCCAGCAGTGTTATGCCCATTTATCTCATTGAGCAAGACTGGAGTAGCAGTGCTATCAAGATAGGGGTTTTGTGCGGGGGTTGATTTTTTGGTGGTTTTGTTTTTTTAACTCTAAGCCTATTTTTATAGGTGATGTTTTCAGATGTTTGTGTTGCTTCTAGTTATAATAATTTCCTTGTTTGTTTTTTACTTGTTTATTGTTCTTAACCTTCCCACTGAAACAAAAGTTTTCACATTTGTTTTAAATAAATGAATGTGCAAGTCTCTTGCAGTGAAGGGAGGAAATGGCCTACTGTGTTCAACTGCAGGGGTACAGGGGGATGACCTCACTGTATGGGTTTCTTATGCATAACTCGACCTTTTCAAACTGAGAAAGCAATGTAACTTCAATCTAGACTTGATATTTTGTCCTTCTGTTGCTGGGACTTCTGCTTTCCTGTTCATCCAGTCTATCTGCTCTTACAGTGAAGTCAACAACTGAGGCCATAAAAAGGGTCTGCTGGAAGGTAGCAAGATTTCAACCCTAAATACTAGAATGTTTTTCCAAGCGAGAACATCTTACTTTTTGGCTGCCTTCTTGGATCACATTCAGACAGCTCTGGACTGCTTATTGGGTTGGGTTAGGGTTAAGGGTCTCGCAAGCTGCGAGGTTAGTGGAGAGGTGGTGTCCTTGGAAATGCCATTCTCTTTCCATTCTTATCAATTTACAAGCCGTGCTTTTTTTTGGACATGATCCCTGTCTAAATTTCTCATGGGAGCCACAATCAAGGTTTTTTTAATGTTAAAAAGGGATGGTTCTCAGTTAGAGATGCGACAAACTGTCCAAAAACAATATTGACAAACCTGCACACTGCATGCAGACATTAGTGTAATGTTGATACTAGACCTGTTTCTTCACTATGGTTTGTAATATAGTTTGGAGTTGACACATTCAGGTTTGATATAGTGGGGAAAAGAGGTTGGGTACACATCACCTGCATATCAGACTAAGAAAGAAAAGATCTCTTACTTCATCCATAGACACATTTTGAGTAGCAACCATTTTGCGAAATAAAGCTCTGTGTTAGTACTGTGCCCCACTTCTGCAGATCATGGTATGGTAGGTATCGGATGGAAACAGTAGCCACGTTAGGGGAAAATTAAATAGATGATTAGTGGGGGCAGGGGGTGCAAGTAGTAGGGAAGGATTTCAAATGAGGAGACTTA